TGCTTACCTTTAAACACTGATTTAAATATTGTAATTTTTAAATAATTTTACATCAATGGAAACTCAAATGTAATATTTAAAACTTCAATACATAAAATCAGTTATTTAACAATATGAGGTGTTTAATTTTTTATTTTTAACATTGTATTTTCATACATTTATGCCAACGTTGCCCAAGTCTAGTTTTCCAGAGCTACTATCTGCAACTTTAGATGCATTCCTTCTCTAACACACCTGGACCATTGACTCATTATAAGCCTCTGAATGAGGGAAGTCAACCTTTTGTCTGGGGTGTTTTAGCAGGGATGCACTCCTGATCTGTACCGTCAATGTAGCCCGTTGAGGGGGGCCAATATGCTGAAGTGGCCCTCGGTGAAATTGAGTTTGACACCCCTGGCTTAATAGGAGTTTTATATGAAAAGCACTCTCAACAGGGTCTTCATGTTGCTGATCCTTTGAGTCTTACACTTCAGACATTATTGTCCCCAAGGGAAAATCTTCCACAAACGAGCCCCAGCACTCACTCATAGTCAATAAGACAGTAACAACCACAGGCTGCAATGCTAATTCAAAGTGTGCTAATTGTGTGCAAACCAGATATTGCTCATGTTCAAAATTTCAAATTACATGCAAGAAAGAAAAAAATAAGCATTTATGTATTAAAAGTTTCCCATTTACCAACATTTAAATTAACTGACAAATGTTTAAACTTAATAAATTTCAAGACAAGAACAGTTTGATTTGTAAAGAATGAGAACAATAAGTAAACAAGTAATACTGCTAAGATTGTGAAGCAATGGAGAACATTTTTATGCTGCTTTCATGAATGCACACTAAGATATTTAAATCCATCAACTGCAGCAACATAGACAATGATAAATATATTCTTGAATGTGAATATACTTTTTAGGTCAGTCCTTAATTAAATCTTGTGAATACTTAATAAAAGAATAATGATGCATGCAAAGTTCTCCTCCAAAGCCTTATTTTTAATTCACTATTTAGTATACTGTAGTGTTATTGTCCCTTGTCACCATTTCACTTAGTAAGCAATCTTTAAAAATATCCAACATTCATGGAATAAAGGATGCATAAAAATTGAACTGATGCCGACACCGTCCCCATGCGGAAGTAGAGCGAATATCCGACAAACTATGTAATAAGTTTGTAAAAGTAAGGAAACTCGATGTCTTACCCAAGACATTTTTTGAGTCATTTTGCTTTATGAGCCAACCCCCAGGAAAAAAAAAAAAACAAAAAAAAAAAAAAAAAATCTCCAACGAGTCGTGCATCAGGTCTACAAGGTTATTTATGTGAAACAACGGAGAAACGTTAAAGCCCAAGTCTTTTGCAGCCAGAGGAAGAATGTGGGGCACAAAGTCTCTTTGGATGTGAGTGTGAAAGCTGTCAGACTATTTTGCATGTACAAAGCGGGTGAGTAATGATTTAAATGATACAAGCTTGTGAAACTCTGCCTTCAGGAAAATACTTAAAAATAAACAGTAGCATAAAAAGGTTCTTAAATTTAAATACCACAGCTACTGCAGCACGTTTCCAAGCTGCCATAGTGCTACCATTGGAATTTACACATACAATCAAGGATAACTACCTTCACTTATTAATCTTTGATTTGACTATCAGTAAGTGTCCTTATGACAATGGAAAGGGATATTTACTATCAGTTACCTTCTGGCAGACAACATGTGGTAGGTGTTGATCACAGTTTCATTCAAGTGGACGTGAGGTCGGCTGCAGGCAGGCCTTGGTTCATCTCTTGCAGTATTCCAGACTCCGTTTGGGTTTTTAAAATGTAACAAGTTCAATTCTGCGCCTCTACACACTCTGGGTAACAGCTGCCAGGTTTGCATGTTCTCTACTGACATAGCTGAACCATAATTTCCTATTATTTTCCTCAAAATCTTTATGACCGCAGCGTGTTAGCATTAGCAACCACTGACAACCACCTATCTGGAGGTTCATTTCCTTCAGATAGGCGTGTACGATACAAATTGCGACCGCCGATTGGTCAGTTGCTGACAAGCCCCGTAAAATGGTTGATGGTTGGAGTCCTGTCAATTTTGAGATAACTTCCTATCTCCACTTTTAGAAAAGCCAAAGCTATATAAATGTATGAATAGCAATGTAAAAAAAGAAATAAGCACAGCAACGACAACGAGTCACTTCAAAACAAAGCACTATTTTAATTTTAAATTAAAGACAAAATGATTATAGCGCTTACATTCCGAACAACCTTAACAGCTAAGGTTGTTAGCCACTGATGGCTAACAACCTTAGCTGTTATTAATGGGGGAGCAAAGCGAGCAGTACAAAATCTGCAGTCTGTGTCAATATCCAAGAGCAGAAGTGTCCAAACCTTTTGCCAAGATGGTCAAAGTCATTTAGCACAAAAATCGTAAATTTTTTTAAATAAAAATGTAAATCGTTTGTATTTTTTAATACTCAAAAATATAACAAAACAAGTTAAAAAACAGTTGTGTTTTTGTAGAAAATTGTTTATCCAAAGTATCAACAATTTCAAAGGGTCTTGAATCAAAGAAAGGCTTATAATTTTAAACTTTTGGAGAGTCAATTTATTTAGTTTTTGGGCTAGTTTTTGCCTCCTCTCAGCAACAAGAATGTAACAGGTCTGGGCTTGCTGAAGTTTACCCAAGTTTAATCACTGGGGAGTGATTAAACTTGAATAAATTATGTTTTCGAAACAAAGAAAAGTTTGAGAAACTTTTATGAAAATCTTTCACTTGGATAATAACCCATAGACTCCACAAATTAGAGAAGTGTATAGGGCAGTTTCCATTGTCTCCCGAAATATCCTTAAGGACTGAAGAATTCAGAAGAATAATTGGTTTTTATGTGTCTTTTCAACCAAAGGACTTTGTTTCTTTCTTCAGTCTAACATCTCAAACACAGTACTGTGGCCCCTAGCAAACTGGAGCAGGAAACCGAGCTTAAATCCCGAGACTGGCATGCATTCGCGAAACTGGAGCAACACCACACAAGGAATTGTGTACAAACCCATCATATTCGCCTGAGTGAGGCGGTGGGAAACTTGGTTGCATTTTCATTTGCTTGGCTGCCAGCAGAAGAGGGGATTTGTGTCAGTTTCACTCCGGCTGATATTCCCTCCAGAAGAAGCGAGCGGAACACTCATTTTCACATTTCCAGCGTGGATGGGAGAGTGACAAACCTCTTGACACCACCTGCAAGGGGCCTGATTTGTTGTTTTCTCTTGTTGTGGGGGAAGGTGCAAACATATCTGCAAGAAGGAAGCTGGCAAGTGACGTCGCAGCCAGACGATAGACGGATTTACTCCCTGCCAAAGAACGTTCATCCTTGAAACGGCGTGAGGAGAAACGGTTTGTGTAGCCGACAAAGCAAGCTGGAGACCAAAAAGACAGAATAAGAGTGTGATGAGAGATGATGTTGGATAGAAAAATGTGACCAATGGCAGAGGATATTTTTAGCCCAACCATGCACGTAGACACATACAAACCCAGTATCTCTCCAGTGTCACCGTTACTTCCTAGAGCTCATTAGAACAGACTCAGCTACTTGTTTCTCCCAGGAGCTCACATCCATGAATCTCCCAAAGTTTTCTGCCGCTTCGTAATGTTCAAACTGTGCTCCTCCTAAATCACCTGACCTGAACGCTCAGCAGAAACGGAAAAGGTACGAATGCGTCCGATGTGTCTGCTTGTTCCATCAGTGCAGGCGAGCACTGCATCTTACCAGTGACTGCAGAGGTACTTGAGAGGCATCATTATTTCTGCTGCATCGAGTTTGACTAAATGCCTCTGCAATTTCTAAATCCTCTTCGACCCTCATTATAAAAATGCACCTTTTATTACAGCTGCAGCTTTTTGTCAGAGTGGCAAGAACCCGAGGAGCAACCGACAAAGGAGAGGGCGGCAAAAGTGCTTGATCGCAGAAGATTAAAGGACCAAACAAGGGGGAAGTAAAAAGGAGGATGGTGCTGTTCCACCTTAAAGAATCTTTTGAGCCAACCAGGAAGCTGAGCCATTTTCTCTAATAGCTCTGTTCCTTTAAAGCCTCCTGGCTCTGCCCGTGTTTACTCCCTCTTAAGATGGCTGCGCCTCATTATCTTATTGTACTGCAGCCCTTGAACAGTGTGTCAGCTGCACTTGGTACAGCAGCACGGTCAATATTCACCGTCTTTCAGAATGAATCATCTCCTTCAATGCTCTGATGCAGCGCTGCTGACTGAGGCTAAACTACTGTCTTCCTGTCATGTATGCTCCTTCAGATCACTAATATGCTCTCTCTCTCTCTCTCTCTTCCTCTCCTCCGGCTAGATGAGGTCGACTCGGAAAGTCTCGGTGTGGCCTGTGGCCTTCGTGGGTGGCCTGCGCTACGAGTCCCCCAAGGTAAACGCAGCCGGAAAGGTCTACGGCTGGAAGGCGGTGTTCGACCCCCACCGGCCATTTGCCATCGACATGGCTGGCTTCGCCATCAACCTGAAGCTCATCCTCGCCAAACCACAGGCGTACTTTAAGCTCCGCGGCGTGAAGGGAGGCTACCAGGAGAGTAGCTTGCTCCGAGAACTCGTAACACTCAATGACCTGGAGCCAAAAGCTGCCCACTGCCCTAAGGTTTCCTCGGGTTTTTTTTTTTTTTTTTTTCTATGATCATGAAAGTTCAGCAGCTCAACTGAAAACAGTTTAACTGTATTTGACACAGTCCGAAATCTGCAAAATAAGGTCCAGGATGTAAATTGGTTTTGAGTTGGGAACTTCTTCATTCATTCATTCATTTATTCATTTTTATGTTCACTGCCTTAATTAACATAAAGTATTAATCTTATAAAGTACTTTATGTTAAATGCTTAGTGAATGTAGATTTAATTTAAATCTGTTGAAAAAAATAAAATAAAAATCAAGTAAGAGTGGCAAAATAATTTACACATACTCCCCCCTCTGGTTGCTGCATCTGAGTTTTAGCGTAGCAATAAATGTAGAGGCTTGCATGCCACCAGTGTCATTTTAACGATGTGATAATGATGTGAACATTGTCAACCATGACCAAAACCGCAAACGGGGTGGTTCTAAAAATATTGTTTATATTATTTTAAGAAACAAGCAATAGAAACAACATGATTTCATATGTTTGCACAAATGACAAAAAAATCATTTAAAATCTAACGCCTTCCCCCAGTCTTTTAGAAATTACCCTAAATGGCTGTGCTGACCATGTTTTTTTTGTTTTGTTTTGGGTTTTTTAATGAATGTTATCCTGATCACAGCGACAAAATAAAATTTTCTTGCAGCAACAGAGGACACGGCAAGAAGTCCTCTTAAAACATCATTAAAACATCAAAACTTTATTTTTCAAGAAATCTGTTTCTCAACAGAGTTTCCGTTGGTGCCTTTTTTAATAAACATGGAAAAATGGTTCTCAAATTCCATATTCAGTGCAAGTCACTGAGCGGCTTCTTTTAACTTTAAAGAAGAAGCACAAGCACTGCCGAAGCACACAAATATTGACATGAGGCTCACAGTAATTAAAAACGACTGCTAATTTAACCTCTATGGACCCCCAGTATTCACGGTGAAAATCAACAAATGCTAAAATCTGCTAAAACTTGAGGCTCCCTCTAGAAACATTTATATTTGTGTATTTTAACAGTAAAAGCACAAAATATGGGTCGTTATGTATTAACATGCACCAGGCACGTGCAGAGGGGGGCGCAGGGGGCTTGAGCCCCTTTTATCCTTGATGCATCAGTAAAATACAGTATAGCCGTTGCTCGTTATAGAAAACTTTTTTTTTTTGGTTGCTAATCAAGGAACCAGAAAAACCTTTTCTATATACATTCTTTAATATATCTAGTTGCAAAAAAAAAAGAAAAACAAAAGCATTTATTGATTTATCGGTGCAGCTGTAATTTTTTAATTGCCCAAACTAACTCCTGTTTATGCT